TAGTGTGCTGGTCTCCACTACTGGAATAGCTCCCATAGCGATAGATTCCCACCTTAAAGGATTAGAGTATAGAGAGATTTCTGTTAACATTCTCACGTTCGATGGCAATCCAGACCTTTGCCTCTTGGAGACAGAACGAACTGCATGGTTCCTATCTTCCGCAAATAGTCTTCTACTGATGTTCTTGTTTTACTGTAAGTTTATTATTGGTATGTATTCATTCTAATCTCTTCTTACACACAGTGTGTCCAGGTATGGTTTTGCGAGCAGAAATGATCTTTCACTCGTTTCCTAGTGGCATCTGTCGCCGCCATGAACCCTACAAACAGCCCTTCGAACCGTTCGGAAGCGTTTCTAGAATGCCAAAATGAAAAATGCTTTGGAATAAAGGTATGTATACTTTCTCTCATCACGTATCTGTAGCAAACGTTGCTGATTACCATGCACCCAATGAGCATTGGCTATACCTAATGGAAGGCCTTCGAGTTTCGGATGACGAGTGTCAATGTTCTGTCCAAACCAACGAATTAGGTAAGGGTCACTGAAACAATGTACTTAGGAACAACGTGAGGATGTATTACTAACTCCAGATAGTGCTGGAATATGCCGGGAGCAGGAACGATGCTGTCATGAGTGATCAAAATGTAAAAGTTCCGATTTCTTTTCTGAAAGTCCTCCAATGCGTATAGCAGAGGTGTATGGATGAAAATGATGGAACCGTTCTCAACTTTGTAGATCTGGAAAGAAGAACATATCACAAAGATTCTTTCAATGAGGAGCAACCGATCAGTTTCGTGCAGAAATGAGGTTTAGATCAGCAACGTATATGCTCACGTGTAGTATGAGTACGTGAGTGGAAATTAGAATACGGAAGCTTAGGTGTGCGAACTAGTTAGTACTCACGTTCATCAACTGCTGAGCTTGTTTCTCTGTATATATTACATAGTTGGCTATAGACCGGAAAAAATCGCCGGAAACGAAAGGATCTTCTTCTCGTACAACCAGGTTCTGTAAATCAATTCAAATCTAGAATAATACTTTCAGAACTTACCGGTAAAAATACAAACACTTTTATAATAAAATAGAAGAGCACGAGAGTATAGACGAAAGTAAGCTTCACCTCTTCTTGTAGTTTAGAATGAAACGTCATATCCGTGGATTTTCTGCGTTTATTAGAATTAGAAGAGGTTATGATCTAGGATCGACTGTAGCTTGAACTATCCACTCTTTAAAAGAAAAAGTTTGGGTATGTTCTGATCATTCAAGCACTCAACGAGATTTCCTCTTTCAGACAGGCGAAGATCTTGAGATAACCCGGGAACAAGTTTAT